TGGGACACCACAACCCACAAGTGGTTTAGAGGTTGTCGCACTTAGGCGTACCAGTTGATCTGAATCGTGATATCTTTAATAGGGGGCCACGTGCGAACCCTACCCCTACCCCCCACGATTTCTGGGGGGGAGGGTGGGGTTCACCTCGCTCGGGAGCTCCCGAACGAAGTGAACCCCACCCTCCCCCTCAGAAATCATGGGGGGTAGGGGTAGGGTTCGCACGTGGCCCCTTTTAAATTTGCGGCAGTAGCGATTCCAGCATGCAGAAGCCTGTCGGTCATTGCTCGAATGGGAGTGCGATCTGAGACCTCTCGATGCTCGAAACTAATCCTTCTCAGGCTGCTGCATCGGTTGACGTGACTAAGAGCTTTGAAGCTGCTCTACATATCGAGATCAAGTCCGTAAACTAACCAAGCGCAGCAACATATGTCACATAATGCGAATAAAGTTTCGGTCATAGCTCGAGTATGGGAGCGAGCTGAGACTTCTCGATGCTGTTGACTATTGTGTCCGAGGCTGCTGAATCGATAAGTATGACGGACAGCTGTGCATCTGCTCTAAATCTCGATATCAAGTCCGTAAACCGTATGCGCGCGGACCAACAAAACATGTTCTGAATAGTTCTTCTCGTAGCTTGTGTATGAAGCCGATATCAGACCCCTATATTCTCTAGGGATATGTGTTGATCGCTGCTCGATTGATTGGTGCGACGAAGAGACCTGTGGCTGCTCTAAATCTCGAGATCAAACAGTAAGCCGAACGCGCGGCAAATACCATGTCACAGAGTGCGAATAGTTTCTCCAGTTGCAGTTCGAGTAGGAAAACAACCTAGGGCCTCTTGAGGCTCCTGACAAATCCTTTCGAGGCTGCGGAAACGATTACTGTAACTAACAGCGCTGCAGATGTTTTAAATCTCGAGATCTAGCCCATTAACCAACGGTGTGCTAAAACTTGTATCGTCACGACGTTGGTTGCTCGAAGTGACTCGATAGTACTACTGCAGCTACGGACCTGAAACTAAGACACGCGATCGCCTCATGATCTGCCATTGGGAATGAACATCTGCGTTGCCAACATGCCCGATCTGATATTTGACAACTTTTAAGAACATCGGCCCTAAGTTATCACATTGCCTCTTCCTGCCGGGTCGGTTAGCTCCCCCCTGCGCCGGGTCTCTTCTTAGCTCGTCTTACTGAAGAGTTCACAAATTCTTAGATTTTCACGACGGCCGAAGCGAGAGCTAAGAGCTCTATTCGGTCCCCGGCGGTGGCCAGGTTGACGGTTTACCGCCAGTGTCCAGCTTCGGCTGCCGCTGTCCGCCGAGCACCGTCGCTTCGATCGCCGACATGACTTGTCGATTCGAGGCTGGGCTACCGTGCCTCTGCCCCCTCCTCCCCCTCCTCCTCCTCCTCCGCCTCCTCCTCCTCCTCCGCCTCCTCCGTAGCCATTTTGGCTCAAGGCTATGAACCATCCCGACGACCGCGAGTCCCACGGGGCGGCTTCTGAGCGCGAGGGGGTTCGCGCTTTGAGGCCAAGCGATTTTCAAAGTTCTGAGCTTGCAGTGGCACGCGCGTGGGCGGCATGGCGCCTCCTCCTCGCGGTGGCGGCGCTCGTGGCAAGGCCCATGCGGGCACTGGCTGGCGCTGCCCATCGTGCTGCTACAAGAACCTCGGGTGGAGGACGCAGTGCCGGCAGCCAGACTGCTGCGCGTACCGCCCGACGACCAACGGTGCTCCTCTGCCTCGTGATGCTGGTGACGGCGGTTGGCCTCGTCTCGGTCGCTGGGCCGAGGGACCGCCCAAGGTTCCGTGGCGCCATGCCGAGCAGGCGGCTGGGGGAGGCAAAGGGCAGCAGACTCCCAAGCCGAAGCGGCTCACTGACGAGAAGCGTGCCTACTTCGTGGCCTGTCCCGCCGACCAGCTCGATGCTTGCAAGGAAGGAGCTCATCGCGGAGGCGGACTGGCAAGCCATTCGTCAGCAGCGCTTCCTCATCCAGCAGCAGCTGGGATCGCTTTCTGCGGTCAGGCCTGTCAGGGGTGCGCAGGTGGCGGCCGACGAGGCTTCCAAACGTCTCCTGCGGGCCCGCGGCGAGCTGGAGCGCAAGAAGAAGGCGGCCCAGGCAGCGCTGCAAGCGGCCTTCGACCAGGAGAAGCACGTCGCGAAGCTGCAGGTGGAGTTGGACGAGCTCGTCGAGAAGGCCAGGCGGGTCCTGGCTGAGCCGCCTGTCGCGGCGGTGCCGCGTGCCGACGACCGCTACGTCGCTGACGTCACCAAGTGCAGTGACCTGGTTGGCACTGTCTCAGGTGCCCTCGGCGGCATCGAGCTTGGCGAGCTGGCTGGCCCGCTCAAGTCCCTCATCGCCGCACTCCAGCAGGATGTTGCCGCCTGCGAGGCCTCGGGCGCCCCGCCAGCAGCTGCTGAGCCTGCCCCTGCCGTCGCTGCGGCAGGCGCCCAGTCTGGGGCGGGGGCGCATGCAGCGGATCTGGGCGGTGTGCACACGGCGGTGGGCGATGGCGACGAGGACATGGATGGCCGCAACCTATCCCCTGAGGCCTTCGCGGCGCAGGCCGAAGCTTTCTGCGACGGCGACGCTGAGAAGAGGAAGTGGCTCGAAGCCTTCCGCGACCGCTGCTACGCCGACAAGAAGCCGAAGCTGGGGTAGCAGGTGGCGGCTGGCGACGCTCAACATGAACGCCTTCAGCAACCTTGACAAGTGCCTCGCGGAGCAGATCAGCGGGTGCAATGTTCTGCTCTTCCAGGAGACCCGCCTCAGCTGGGCGCGTACGACGGATGCTGAAGGTGAGCTTCGTCGTCGGGGATGGCGCGCCGCGGGCGTTGAGGCCCAGGCGTCTCAGGCGGGGGGCCTGGCGTCTGGCGGGCTCCTCGCGCGCTCGCGCCTTGAGCACGGATTGGCGCGCATGAAGGGCTATGAGACTCCAGTCGTTCGACCTGGGCGAGCACAGCTGCTTCACCACGCTGGGCTGACTCCTGGGAGAGTCGTTGTGGGAAACGTGTACTTGGAGAGCGGCGCGGGGGTTGGCGCATTCAACTACGAGGCGCTGCGCGACTTGGCGTGCAGGCTGAAGCAGCACGGCAGGCCGTGCGTGATCGGTGGCGACTTCAATTGTACCAAGGCCGAGCTGGAGAAGAGCGGAGTGCTGCGGTTCCCCGGCGGCACCTGCGTGGACACGCTCGAGCCGATCTGCGCGCAGTCGATGCGCCCCATCGACATGTTTATCGTGTCGAGGGGCCTGCGGCTGCTCAACGTGGAGGTGATCAGCGGATCGCCTGTGTGGCCTCATCGGCCTGTGGTCCTGGAGCTCGAGGCGACGCGCCAGAGGCCCTACATCCGTGTGATGGATGTGCCCAAGAGCTTCCCGCAGCAGCGGCCTGCTGGTTGCGCGCGATGGGACTACCGCGTGCCGTGGGTCAGCGTCGGCGCGGAGGTACGGCGGCTTCTGCGCTCTGCGCCTCGGCAAGGTGTGTCGACGGCTCCTCAGGGTGGGCTTGCGGATGCTGCCCTCAATGACGCTGCTCCCCCGAGTGGCGCGCCTCGAAGAGCTACGGGGCCCACGCCTGCTGCCGATGGTGCGAGCGCACATGGACCTGTACGTGGTGGTGGGTCTGAACTTCGCGGGCCCCTGCAAGGACAACCGGCAGGCGGAGAGCGCGCCACTCGGAGTCGGGAGTGTGAGCGAGGTTCAGGGGCCGCTGCTGCCGAAGGCCATGGGTCGCGGGCGGCCCGCGCCGACGGACAGCTGACGCAGCTACGCGACCAGGTCAACATCGCCTGGCAGCGGTTCCTGGAGCAGGCTGAGACCGACTGGATTGATATATACCAGGTGGGCGAGGGCGCCCAGAAGTATCGAGGGCGAGGTCAGCCAGCGCAGCCGCGCTGGGTCCGCAAGCTGCCTGTAGCTGGCGCACGCTGGCCCAATGTCTCGGTTGAGGCCACCTGGCTCTACAGGGTGTCGTGCGAGCTGCAGCTTCTCGCCGCCGTCGCGCAGCCCGTCAGCCGTGTCCGTGCGCTTCAAGGTCTGCACAGGCTGATGGTGACTGCGCCCAAGGCCGTGAAGGCTGTCGCGGAGGCTGAGCCTCACGACCTGCCTGTCGCGAGCGCTTGGTGGCAGCTCCTCAACAGCTTGGGCGCTCACTGCCTGGATCCATCCACCACAGTCCTGCAGCTGAGCGAGTGCGCCCGCGTTGCTGCCGTGAAGCTGGCCGAGCGTGACATGTCGGAGCGCAAGGTCAGGTTCCAGCAGTGGATCGCCAAGCAAGCCAGTGGCGGCGGCGGCGGGCCCCACGCGGTTGCCAGGCTGCCGATCGGATTCGCGGAGAGCCCCATGCTGCGCGCTAGCACCGAGGAGACGCACGCGGTCTTCTGTGAGCCCGCCGACCTCGCCGCGGAGGCCACCGCCCTGGAGGTTGCCTGGGGCAGCTGGTGGAGGACAAGCTGCGAGCAGGTGGCGCTGCGGTGGCCGAAGGACCTTGGCGCGCGGCCGCCTCGGCCGACCGCCGCGCAGCTGCGGGCGGTGCTCCTGACCTCCCCCGCCAACGCGGGCACCTCTTTCTGCGCGGTGCGGCCCAGGCAGCTCAACGACCTCTAAGACGAAGGCATCGAGGTCCTCGCCGACATCATCGAGGCCATTGAGCTCCACGCTTCATGGCCCGAGATGACCACCAAGGTCTGCTTCATTCAGAAGAGGCTCGGTGGTGTTAGACCGATCGCGCTGATCATGGTGCTGGCCCGCGTGCAAGCCCGCCTGCGGCGGGACATCGCACGCAAGTGGGAGGTGCAGAACGCGCGCAGCTACTGGTGGGCCTCGGCGGGGCGCAGCTGCGAGCGAGCGGTCTGGCACCAGGCAGCTCTCGGCGAGTGGGCCACGCAGCGTGGCCAGGACTGCGGCGACGAGAAGCGCTGGGTGACCGCGGCCGTCCTGCTCGACCTGCTGAAGGCCTTCGAGCAGGTCAGGCATCACTGGCTGCCCGACGCCGCGGTGCGAACGGGCTTCCCGCTGTGGCAGCTCAAGCTTCAGGTGGAGTTGTACTGCGCACCTAGGGTGCTCGCCTTGGGCAGCGCGCGCTCCGACGTGATCGAGGCTCGACAGGCGATCTTGTCTGGCGACGGCTTCGCCACTACCCTGCTCAAGCTGATCTTGGTTGGGCCGCTGGACAGGCTGGTCGAGCAACGCCCGACGTTGCAGCTGGCTGTCGTCGTGGACGACCTCACGCTGCACAGATTCGGCGGCGCCGTGCGCGTCACGAAGGAGGTTGCGGAGGCGGCCTTCAAGCTCAAGACGCTGCTGACGGAGGTCGACCTCAACGTGGCGCTCTCCAAGTCCCGCGTGCTCGCCAACGTCCCCGACGTCAGGCGCGCCGTCGCTGCGAAGCTCAAGCGGCCGCTCGGCATGATGTCGGTCAAGGGCGAGCGCAATCTTGGTGTAGATTTCTCGTGCGGCCGCAGGGTGGTGAGGAAAGTCCGAGGCGACAAGATGGTGCTTGCTGGCTTGGGGACCAGGCGCGTTGCCCTCTTGAAGACTGGTGCCGGGCGCAAGCTGGCAGTCCGCAAGGTGGCGCGCAGCGGGCTCGAGGCGCCCGTATCCAACGGCTTCTCCGTTACGGGCTGCGCCGCCACGGAGCTTGACAAGTTGCGTACGCTCATCTTCACGGCCGTGGCGCCGAGCGTGGCGGGGCGCTCGCGGACCCTCACGCTCATGCTCACGCCTTTCCTAGACCCCATCTATCGCGCGACGCTGTCCCCGATCATGGCGATGCTGCGAGCGGTATGGGAGTGCTGGCTTCCGAAGCACGTGATCAAGTACGGCCTGGCCCAGTGCGCGGCTACTAGTTGGTGCCAGGTGAAGGGGCCCTTCTCCGCAGTCAGGCTCTCCCTCGGGCGCGTTGGGTGGCAGATCGTCGACGGCAGCACCTGGCGCACGCACTGCGGCGACTGCATCTGCATCTTCGAGACTTCACCCTGGATCATCAAGCGCCTACTCTGGATGGCGGTGGAGGCGTGGCAGTGGCGACAGGTTGGGCATCGGCCTGGTCTTGCCCACCTGGCTGATGGTGGCATCCTGGAACCCATCGTCAGGCTCACCAACGCGGGGGCATTGCAGCGCAAAGGCTTTTTCGGCAGACAGGTGAACTACGTTGACGGTGACGCTGTTGCCGCCACTCCTCGGCCTGTCGTTCGACCTGTTGTGCCTCCTGAGGTGGCGGCGCTGCCTTTGGGCAATGGTGTGGAGGCTGGCTCTGCTGCGTGCGGCCGTTCTGATCCAGCTATGGCCTGCGTGCTGGGGACGGGCAACCTAGCGGTGGCGGCCAGCGCCGATAATCTGCAAGCTGCGCGCGCCGAAGCTGGAGATGGATGGGCTGACCTCATCAACGACCTGCTCGGCCAGGTGACGCCTGACCCCGCGCCGCGGCCAGACCCAGAGGGCAGAGCACCGCTCGGACCTGGGCTGCCTGCTGGCGACGCTGGAGCTGGAGCCTGCCAAAGCGTCGCGCCTCCACGGCAAGGTGTGTCGACGGCTCCTCAGGGTGGGCTGGCGGATGCTGCCCTTAATGACGCCGCTCCCCCGAGTGGTGCGCCTCGAGGAGCTTCGGGGCCCACGCCCGATGCCTGGGGCGCGACGCCCGCTCAGAAGGCTAAGGCGACCCGACTCGCGCCCAAGGAGTGCGGCTACCTCGCCTCGGTTATAGTGGACGGCCAGTGGCCTCAGCGCCGCAAGTACCTGAATGGCTACGCCGCGGGCGACAAGTGCTTGCTGTGCGGCGACGTCGGCACGTTGCTGCATAGGCACACGTGCTGCAGTGGTTGGCCGCCTGAGTTGAGGTTGCCCAGCAAGATCCGCGAGCTGGCGAGCAAGGCCGTGCTCGAGGAGGTGGAGTGCATGCTGGAGCGCGTGCTGTGGCCTGCGCCCCGCGGCATCATCAAGCCGCCTCGGCCTCCTGGGATCAGCTGGCTGGGACAAGACGTTGGCGGCGTTCTGCCGCCTGGCGACGTATACCTGGACGGGTCCGCCTACGGGAGCGACTTCCAGCAGTGCACGAGCGTTGGCTGGGCTGCGGTGGTGCTGCAGGAGGGCGCGGACGCCTTCCGCACGGGCATCTCTGGCATGTTGTGCGAGCCCTTCGCCGACATCAACGGTGGTGAGTTGGCTGCGCTCAGCGGCACGCTGCGCCACGCCGTGCCGCCCGTCAGGGCCATCGTCGACTCGAACTTCGTGTTCAAGGGTGTGATGGAGCACGGGCCGCTGAACACGACGCGCTGGGGCCACGCGTGGGCCCACCTTTGGCGTGAGCTCTGGAGGCTCGTCGAGCACTTCGGGGGGATAGGCCCGCAGGGCCTGACCCTCAAGAGAGTGCCAGCGCACGTCCCGAGCCGCCGCGTGGTTGACGACGGCATCATCACCGCTCGCGACTGGATCGGCAACCGCATCGCCGACCAGGCCGCGAAGCGCGCGGCCGAGCGCGCCAGAGTCGCGCCTGAGGCCCGCCAACGCTTGCAGTCGGCACGGGAGCTGGTCGAGGGCGTGGCCATGTGGGTCTCCGCGGTTGGGGCCGCCGTGGGCGGAGACGACACCGCCCACCGCGCGGCGAAGCCCAACAAGGCAGCCCCACGAGCAGCGCTGCAGCCCGCTGCTGCCAGGCTCGGCTGCGACCTCCGTGGGCCGCCTGGGGCGCGATGGTGCAGCAGGTGCCGCTGGTTGGAGCGCGCCAGCGAGTGCCCTGGCTCGATTGCGACGTCCGCCCTCGACCACAATCGGAAGTTGCGGGCGCAGGGCGCCTTGGCGCACGTCATCGCGAAGATCGAGCCGCAAATCGAGTCCCAGCTGCAGCGCGAGATGCCGCTGCTGGCCTGTCTTGTCTGCGGGGCAACGGGCGCGGCGAGGAGCTCGTCGTTCGCCCGTGCCTGCGGTGAGCCTGGTGCCAAGGGCAAGCTGGCGATTGCCCGCCTGGCAAAGGGCTTCGCGCCAGGCGCAGCTGGCCGTGTGGCCATCAAGATCGTGCAGGTCGGCGACCACGGCTTCGAGGACGGCGACTCGGTCGACGACGGCGACGTCCTCGCGGGGCCGCGGCCCTGAGGCGCGCGCGGGGGGAGGTTGCACCGCATCCCCGCGCGCGCCCTCGGTGTGGCGAGCTGCTGTCGTCGCGGTCGGCCTCGGCATCCGCGAGCGGGTCTTCTGACCCAGGCCCGAGCGCGTGAGGCACGCTCGGGCGCCAGCGCGGCCGTGCGCCCGCGCTGATGCGCGCGCATCTTCCTCCGCCTCCTGCCCTCGCGTGCCCGGGGGGAGAAGGCACAGACCGCCGGGACAGCGATAGGAGGGGGCGGGCTCAGGGTGGACGCATCGACCTCTTTGCGTCGCTCGAGCGCGCGGATCTTTGCCCCGACGAGGGGCATCTCGGATCGTCTTGACGCGGGTCGTCGTCGTCAAGACGTTGTACGTCGTGGGCCTCGTCATCGACGTCACCGTTCCCACGTCAAGAGGCTCGTCGTCGATGTCATAGCTCCCGCATCGAGGTCGCCGCTCTCGCTCCTTCCCCTGAGCCCGTCCCCGGACGAGCCACCGCTTCTTTGCGTCAAAGGGAAGCCCCTCCTTTGATCGTTGATCCTTTCCCCGGGGCGGGGGGGGTCCTGGGAGGTTCCCGGCATGAGGAATGAGGAGGACGAGGGCGAGGACTAGGAGGAGGAGGAGGAGGCGGAGGAGGAGGAGCAGGAGGGCGAGGATGGGAAATTGGAGGAGGAGGAAGGAGGAGGAGGAGGAGGAGGAGGAGGAGGAGGAGGAGGAGGAGGAGGAGGAGGAGGAGGTTGAGTCAGAGGAGGAGGAGGAGGAGGAGGAGGAGGACGAGGACGAGGACGAGGACGAGGACGAGGACGAGGACGAGGACGAGGACGATGTGGACGAGGATGAGGATGCGGAGGAGGAGGAGGAAGAGGAGGAGGAGGAGGAGGTGGATCGAGGAGCGAGGAGCGAGGAGCGAGGAGCGGGGTGGGAGGAGCGGGGTGCGAGGAGCGGGGTGCGAGGAACGAGGAGCGAGGAAGGAGGAGCGAGGAGAGAGGAGCGATAAGGGAAAGAGCAGATTGGGACGGGCCACCCCGCCCCCATCCCCAGCCTCTAGGAGCGGCGGCGTCTGCAGGAGCTGCGCGACCGGCAGCTGGCGCACGACCTGGCGCACAGCGAGCGCAGCAGGGCGCTGCAGGCGGCGGGGGCGGAGGCCGCGACGGAGGCGCAGGACGGGCACGACGGTGATAGCGACGTTGGCGGAGGTGGGGAGGTTATCCCCTCGTCGCCCCTCCTCGCTGAACTTTCCTCCTCGTTGCTCAATATCCTCGCTGAACTTTCCTCCTCGTGCTCCTCCTCCTCCCCCTCCTCCTCATCGCGCTGCTCCTCCTCCTCGTTCTTCCTCCTCTCCGCCCCACCTTTTCCTTACAAGCAACTGCTCCCTGTCGCACCCCGAGGCCAGCCGAAACGGCGGGCCGGGGCATTTCGCCTGAGAGTTCCTCACCGCTCATGGCCGCGAAGCTCAAGACATGGCAACAGTCTCGCACATGGAAAGCGGGTCGCTTCCAGAATGTGGCTCTCGTTGCAGCGCCGCGCACATCCGCTAAACAATACAAGAACTTCACAAGTTGCGAATAGAGGGCGGGTGGCTTTCAAAATGTGGCTCTCGCCTCAGCGCCGCGCACCTGTGGCCGAGCCATGTGCAAGAACTTCACGGATTAAGGCTGTTCGTTTTTAAAATGTGGTTCGTGCCCCAGCGCCGCTCGCATTCGTCTTAAAACAGTTGCAAACGTTTCGCAGTTTGAGGGCGGTTCTTTTCCACAAATGTGGTTCTCGCTTTAGCGCCGCGCACATTTGTTTTCAACAGGTACACGAGTTTCACGGATTCCCATGGTCAGCGTACCAGAAATAGTGTTTAGGAAACGTGGCGTTGGAGTCCCGGGAATGATGTTTCAGCGTGTTTCAGTGTCTTCAAACGGTTGTCTCCCCACGAGACCGTTCGCCCAGTGGAATTCGACCATGGTGGGAGCCTATGCAGAGGGAGCTTGAAGGGAGCGTTTATTCCAACATCGTTGATGAGTCTTGGCTTTGCACTGGTCCGCCTCCTCCTCGTCTTGATCTCCATCCTCCTCTTCGTTCCTCCTCCTCTTTCCTCCTCCTTTTCCTCCTCCTCCTCCTCCTCCTCCTCCTGCCCCTCCCCCTCCTCCTCCTCCCCCTCCTCTTCCTCCTGCCCCTCGTCCTCTTCCTCCTCCTTTTCCTCCTCCTCCTCCCCCCCCTTCGGTGCTCCTGCTGCTGCTGCGCTCGCTGGCGCACACGCCGTCGCCTCCCTGTGGCGCTCGCCGGCGCCCCTCCGCGAGAGGGTGCCGAGGTGGCAGCACCCCCCCCCATCCCCCGGCCCCGCCTGCCCTCGCTTCATGCAGTCGGGGCCCTGAAGAAGGAACTCTTTTCATTGGGGAGGGGCTCGGTATTCCCTGATTGTTGTGCAATCTGCCCTAGGTTCCCCTGAGGTTTTCCATAGGAAATTGAAGGTTAACTTGTGGAAAAAAGGGGCCTCGCTCCTTATTTAGGGTTCCTTAGGTCAACGCCCCGAAGGGTAGGGTTCCTTATTTAGGTTCCTTAGGTTCCTTATTTAGGGTTCCATATTTTGGGTTCCTTATGTAGGGTTCCTTATTTAGGGTTTCTTATTTAGGCCCGCCCTCGCCTCATAGCGTCAGGCAGCGAAGACGGTGCATCGCCAAGGGGGGGGAGGGCTGCAGAGTCCCGGCGCCGTGGGAGCGCCGGCGGCACGCGGCGCGTGGCATGGTGCATGCCCTTTGTGCAGTACATTGTTGGTCCGCTCTGCCCGTCGTGGCACCAGCAGACAGCAAGTACTCAGTGGCTTCGACGCTCGTTTCGGGGACCTTCCTGGAGCACACCTAACGGATCTGTTCGACCCCAGTTCGACTCAAGTTCGACTCAAGTTCGACTCAAGTTCGACTCAGGTTCGACTCAGGTTCGACTCGGGGTCGACCCAACTCGACTGACGTTCGACGCAGCTTCGACACACGAGTGGAGCGAGTGGCTCCAGGAAGGTCCCCAGAACGAGCATCCAACAGTGGCTGCGCCAGCCTGCATCACCGTCGCAGCTTCATCTGTCATGCCCGAGCCTTTGGGAGCCACAGCAGGCATCACGATCGGCAAGCTAAAAATCCGACAGGCGCACGCAGCTCCATCTACACAGGGTTCATTCGTCCACTCGGGCCTTCACACCTTCTGTCAGAGCAGTGCTCCTTGGAAGTGTTGCGCCACGTTCGTGCCCGCTCCTCGTGAGGCCGTTGAGTCTTCGCGCGTCTGCTGTCAAGCCACGTCGCCCGCTTGTCCGCACCACCGTCAGCCTACCGTGGCCAGCCGTCAACAGACGTCACCAGCTCAAGTGACGGCATGTCGTGGGGATGGCGTCTTGTCTTCTTGAAAGTTTCCTCGTCCTCGCTCCTCCTCCTCCATGTTTTCCTCCTTCTCCCTCCCCTCTTTAATCGCTGCGGTTCGTGCAGGGGGTGGCCCGCGCTTCTGTGGTGCGAGCTTCAGGGCGGAACTGTGCCATAAGCCACTGTGGCGTCATTCAGTCTCCTCTGCCGTGGGTTCTCTTGGTGTTCCATGGTGGAGGGCGACCTGGACATGTTCGGCTTGCGGTTGCAGGAAATCATGTTTCGCCAGCGGCTTTACAGGCATTGCAACGCCCGCTGGAAAAAGGTCCAACTTCCGAGAGCGCTGGTACTCCCAGAATTGGTGGATGGTGGATGGGATTTGTCCGAAGCTTGTGGGTGGGATTACGACGTTACGCTTGTTGTTACTTCTGGTCTTCAATTACCGCCTCTCGGTGGTGAACCAAGGATTCTGGCATCCCCGTCTTATGTGAATTCAGCCTTGCCGCCATCTATATGAGTCAGGGCAACCACAATCGAAGCGTATTAGGTACATTCTCTCTCAAGCGAACCCGTTCTTTCCCATCCAGGTCTTGAATTCCCAGGTTGGCCAAAGAGCTAGGCAAACTGAAACGTTGGAGGAAGGATGCCACTGTTCACGTGGAGGCACGTCAGGGGCTGGCTGATGACATGCATGGGGCGGACTCGACGCACTGTGAATTTGCTGCTCCAGTTTGACGCGAAGCGGACGACGCTCCGCTGGACGCTGCGCCGCCCAAGGTCTCGTTACAATATTTTGTCGAGGGGGGTTCTTCGACTTCCACCTGGACGACAACCTCTTCATGGCTTCATGGGGTGGAACTCTCACCAGAAAATCAGGCGGTTTGTGTTCCGAGGGACAAGGAGTTCGAGAAAACAGTTCCGCGGCATGCCGCGACAGCGTGTCTCCACGGCCAAGGAGCACTCCGCCAAGGCCGGCGAAGAAAAGCAATCCCGCGTCGCGAGGTTGGCAGCCAAGAAGAGGAAGGCCGGCCCCGACAAGGCGTCGGCTGCAGGTGGCGGAGGCGTTTCGGGTGGTGGCCGGAAGGCTGCAGGAGGAGATCCAAGCGCAGGCTCGGGAGAGCCCAGGGCTGCCTCGGGGCTGGCGTGGAGCGCCGCTCAGGGAACAGCAACCTCGAGCTCAGGAGAGGCTCCTGCTGGAGGCAGAGAGTCTGACGTTCGCCAGCGCTGTCTTTCGCTGCTTCGCAAGTCGGGCCCGGTTTTCAGATTCCTGCTTCCGTCTCCACGAAAGGAGGGGGCGGGGAGGGGCGGCCCGTTCGGTCGCGGCCCCCCGCCTGATGTGCTTGAGCTCTCACGGCTGCAAGCTGCAACAGTTGGGGCTCGATCAGGGGGTGCGGTTTTACCTTTTCGCACCATGCGCATAACTCTGGTCCAGGAACGCCGCATCGGCGATCCTGATGGCCGTAGCAGTCGGAAGCTGGAGCATATACATTACCAGTGGCGGGCTGTTGCTCAATCCCCAGACTTTTTTGAAGGTCGGGGACGACGTCGGGGTGGTGTGGTGTATAGTTGTTTCCCCGTGTTCCATCGGAAACAGCAAGACATGTATACACCAGGATGCGGTCACACCATAATCCGTTTTCTTGTGCGAATCTCAGTGTGGGACTGGACAAAAGCATCGCTGTATTATAAAGTTCGGTTCCTTACGTAGGGCCGACGCGCACTGTTTGAAACAGAGCTCGCAGTTCGCGTGGGAGGCCGCCGCGCGAATGCTCGAGGAGGGCACGTCGGGTGGCGCGGCGATGCTGGCCAGTGGCAGAATCGGCCCGCGCCCGCTGTGGAGGGGGGGGTCTCGTCTGCCCTTTCCAGGGCGGCGGGGGCCACGGCGCCTTTTGCCGGAGGAGCGGTTGCGACGCTCGTCTCGCGCCGCAGCTTCGACGCTGGGGGGGTGGCCGACCGTCGAGTGGACCGCTCGGGCGCCACTGGGGGCCCTCTTGGTCATCGAGGGGGTCTCATTCCTTTTCGGAGGCGATTTCGGAATGATTCCAGAGGGCATCCTGGATTCGAGCCTGGTCACTCAAGTACGAGGGAAGGGGTGGGTGGCTCTGAATCCCAGGCGCGTTTCGGAGCCCACGCGCGCGGCCGTGACGTCGTCGCTGTCTTTGCCCGGCTGGCGACAGGGGTCAGGCGCGTCGGCTTCGCGGAGAATGGCGGCGGTTGAAGCCATCGTTGCGCGTCGCTTGTTCAATGTCGGGCGGCGCTGGCAAGATGACAGGCGCATAGATTTCGGATGTCCCCCCGCCCCCCTGCCTGTCACCCCGGGCTCGGGGCCTTAGCGCCGACCTCGGTTTTGCCCGCGCCTACCAGTGCGATCTCGCACCGCTATTTCGACCGACCGACCGCGCCTGGGACACGCGGTGGGCCCGCAGGCTGGGATGCGCGACTCCCTCGGCGTGCTGGGCCAGGCTGCGTGCTGGGATGCGTCGGCGCGCTGCCTCGGCGCGCTCGGCGCTGGGGTGCTGCCTCGGCGTTCTCGGCGCCCCCGCTGTCTCCCGTGCTCCTCCATCTGTTTTCTCCGACCGCCCGACCATGCCCCCCTCTTCCCCCCACCCGACAATGGCTCCCCGCGACTGGCCGCGCCCCCTCTCCCCCTTGCCCGACAGTGGCACTTCGCGCCCCCATCCCCCTCTGCTTATTCCGACCGACCGACCGTGCGTTCCCCCACCCCACCCCTCCCTCACTGCCCCCCCATTCCCGTCGCGCCCCCCCTCTGCTCATTCCGACCGACCGACCGCGCCCCCCCCTTGCCCGACCGCGGGTGATCTTCTCGGGGGGGGGTTCTCAGGGGTCGCGTTCTCAGGGGTCGCCCTCCTGGGCCGCAAGTGTTTTCAGAGCGCGGTTAAGGAATCAAGTCGGCTTGTATGGGGGGTTGCGACGGCTTCCTTGGCGGAGTTGGGATTTCCTGGGGCACGGAAGCGAAGCGTAGCGGAAATTGCCCTGCATGCGCGGGGCCGCTTGGGGCCGCGGGTTACATGCCCGACAGGTGGGCGAATGTAGCGTTCGAGCGGCTGCAGGACAGAATATTGCTAGAAAGTTCCATTTCCTTGCTCACTGCGCCTGTGTCGTTTCCGCGTTCCACGGGGTCCCTTCCAATAAGGTCTCGGCTCATGAGCCGATGCTGGCTCAGTCCAGGGTGGTGTCCGAGGTCCGTCGGGAGTGCGCAAGGTGGTTCTAGGGTAGCCGCTCATTAGCAGATCGACGAGAAAGCTTTCTCAGTCGACGAGACCGACCGTCGCATCGGCCAAGATTTCGACGACCGAGCGGCCAAACATGGAGCCCAACAGCAACCGGAACCCGATCCTGAAGCCGGAGAAAGGATCGAGAAGTATATTCTAATTCCACATGTTGCCAGATTGGCTGCCAGGGTCCTTTTGTTGTGGCCGCTGTGCGACCTGTCTGCAGCTGACAATACTGTAATCCCGAGGCTTCCCCAAAGGCTAGGGGGCCCAGGGCTCTCCTGGAGATGGGTCTCGATTTTCTGACGGTGTGAAGTTCATTTGCGTGGGAAGAGAGGTCAGTGCGCCCCCTCATCGGAAGCCAGAGTTTTCTGACAGCGGTCATCGCTGTGGGCTCACAGATTGCTCCGATGGTCCGTTGCTGTGCATGTGCTATAAGAGCTACAAGTGCAGCGCTGGTGACAGAGCCTGTTGTCCAGGAAAGGGGGAGGCGGGAGCTGGCAGGACTGCTTGGATGCATTTGTGCAGCGGCAGGCTCCCCCAGCTCAGCAGGACGGAGAGGAACGTCATATGTTTTCCCTCGCCTTGGTCTTCTTGATTGACGGCATGTAGTCGTAGAGGTGTTAAGAATTCCTCCCCTTGCCTCCCTCCCTCCCTCTCTCTTTCTCCTTCTCTCTCTCTCTCGCGCTCTCCCAAATCTGTGGCCTTCCTCCTCGTTTTCCTCCTCTCCTTCCTCCTCGTCGTCGTCCTTCTCCTCCTCTTCCTCCTCTTCCTCGTCCGACTCATCTTCCCCCTCCACCCGCCCAAATAGGCGTCTCTGCAACGGGGCGCTGGCCAGCCGCCCCCGAATGCGATGGGGGAGCACGTGGTTGGGCGGTCGCAGTCTCGAGCGGCTTTTCACCACATGGCCAGTCAAATAGGCAGTCCCGCCTCCTCCTCCTCCTCCTCCTCCTCCTCCTCCTCCTCCTCTCACTTCTCCTCATTCCCCTCCTCCCTCCTCCTTATCCTCCTCCTCCTCTTCCTCCTCCTCCTCCTCCTCTTCCTCCTCCCCTCCTCCTCCTCCCCTCCTCCTCCTTCTCCTTCTACTTCTCCTCCTCTTTATCCTCCTCGGGTTCGGAAAGGGTCTGCTTTTCTTGAAATCCACAGCGCTTTTCATGCACAGTCGCTCTCGGGGCCACATAAGGGGCCTCGTTCCTTATCTGGCCTAGCAGCTCGATGGCTCTCAGTTTACCCCGGCCCTTGCCTGCTCCCGAAGACCCTTCGGAGGAGGAGGAAGAGGACTCGGCCGAGGAGCCGTCTGCGCGGGCAGAGGCCGGACAGGAGGCGCAAAACCCGGGCGGTGTCTCAATGGCCTAGCCCGTGATCGGGGAACAACAACAATTTGTTGCGTCGGCGGGTACAGTCACCCTGCATAAGAAGGATGGGCAGCCTTCCCAAGGGTACCCTTGTATCCTTGCCCCTCTGGTCCATCCTTCGCCACGTTCGTTGGTTGCGGCCCGCTCGAAGAGCTTCGAATTGGGCGTCCAAGGCCCTTGCATCCGTATCGCGCACCCTTACTGCACGGGTTGATTGTAGGCAGAGTAATTGCGCTGGCGGAAAGCTAACTAAACGGGGGTGCCGTTGTGGCGAATGGTGCCATCATACAAGGAGAAGGGCACAGGACAGGTGAAACGGCCGAGAGAATGGGGAGAGGAGCGAGGCCGCTCAGGGGGACGGGTCACGCCCGGAGCGCGTGGCGCGGCCGGCCCCGCGGTCCACTGCGGCTGCTGTAGCAGGGGGCTGGCGGCGGCAGGGCGCAGCGCGGTGACCGGAACCATCCCAGTGGGGCAAGGGCGCAGCGCACGGTGCAAGACGGTCAGCACGGAGCCAACAGCCGGCGGTCGCACGTCCCGCGGGGCGGCAGCGGGCGCGGCTTCCCCGCAGGAAAAAATTTGGGCGCAGGCGGCAAGGCCGGGCCGGGGGGGCGCCAGCACGGCGGCTGCGAGCAGCCCGTCGGGAGAGCGTGCGGGAGGGGCAGGAGCGAACAGGGAGGAGGGCGCCCCGCCGGGGCGACCCACGGGAGGGGCTGGCGGAGCGGCGGCGGTGGCGCCGCGCACCAGCAGGCGCAGAGCGGCAGCGGCAGGGGGGCGGGCGCCCTGGCGGCGCCCCGCGCGGGCAGCAGGATACGGGACGCGAGAACGACCACAGCCACCCGCTTTTCTTTTGTTGCCGCCTTCCAGCCAGCAGAAACAGAGCAGTGGCTGTGGTCATTTTCGTGAAGCCTGCCACCGGGGAGATGGCCACAACCACTGGTTCTTTTTCGGCCAGCTGGAAGGCGGCGCAAACAAGAAGCAGTGGCTTTGGTAATTTTCCCGTCCCGCACAGGAGGGCTCCCAGAGCCTGCGAAGACCCGCAGGGCGGGGCGGCGGCGCGGGGGCTGCCACACGGGGCCTCGGCATCGCTCGGGCGTGTGCGGTTTTTTCCTTCGGCGAGGACCATCGGGGAGCATCCTGGATCATTTGGCGAAAAAGCCACGCCGGGGCGGGGGGACGCTTGAGCCCAGCGAGTCACCAGAAGGGCACCAGCTGCCCGGGGGGGCTGGAGGAGCCAGCCGGAGCAAGGACCTGGAAGGGTCCGGAGGGACGGAGCGGAGAGAAAGAGGTGGGCACCGAACAGGCGTGCGTCAGAAGACACACGAAGGCGAATCCATGAATTGTCGCAGGTCGGTGCGGATCCCTTGGCCGCAGGCGACGGTTACCTCTCCCAATCCACGAGCTTCCCCAGAGCAAATGACCGCTTAGAAAAGAGGGAGAACTCGGGGACAGGCGCCTGGAGGGCTATCTGGATGCGCACCTATCGAGGATGGACGCTCCCCCATCGCATATCTGGAGTTGGCCAACCGTTCTGTTGTCCAATCGAAATCCCAGAAGTCTGATATTCGGGTCGCATTGCCCCGCGCTGCTTGGGTCGTAGCTGGACGCCCTCGCCCCCGGCGGCGCCTCTGGCGACGCTTTTGGCGCGTTCCGCGCGCCATGGGGGAGGGGGGTCCAGCGCCGACCCAGACCGCCGCGCGGACCTCCGAGGGTTTGTTCTCGTGCCGCCTCGCGTTCGCCCCCAGACATCTCGCGCTGAGTTTGCTTCGATGCGTGGACCCCCGAAGGTCTGGACAATTTCCCCAGGACCGGGTTTTCGTCCTGAGTTTTTTTGTTCGACGGCCTCGGGGCCAGTCGAGGGCGTCTGGAGGCCAAACATATGCCCAAACCAGCCGTTCCAAGCTTTTGTTGGAACTTCGGATCTATAAGTCTGCAATGGCCTCGCCCTTGCTCAATAGGCGTCGCCCCGATGTGTTTCGAGAAGGGATTGGGGTAGGGCGTCGCCGTTCGAGGGGCCAGATCTCGCCTCTGGACCTCTGGAGCTCATCGGATGGCTCTGGCACGCCAGGAGGGTTTGAAGCTGAATCCGACACGTCTTGGCGGTGAAGTCTGAGCTCAATGTGATCTACCCAGAGATCCGAGGCTCCGAACAAGTTGGAGCGGCCAGTTTTTGCTGTTCTCGGCCTCCGGGGGCCTTCAATGGGCACCGGGGACATCACACAGTGATGCAGGACGAAAAACCGGCCTTGAAAAAGTGGTTCAGACCTCCAGGGGTCCACGCATCAAGAAAATTGGAGCGCCTGATGTCTTGGTAATTTGGCTGGTGCTCTGCCCGCCTCCGAAGCACTCACCCACAGTTGCTGGACATCCGCATGCTTGCCTGCAGCAAGATCACATTTTGAGGCAAGCCCAAGCCCGTAAGAGATTGTCGGGGGCGGCCAAGAGGGGGGTGATGACTAGAGGGGTGGATATCATGGCGGGGGCCTTGGTATTTCCTCAGACTTTGTGGCGCCTCTTCTTATTTCACTACGTCCCTGGCCTCCCCTCCTGGGCCGCGCACATGCCGCCGGCCATGATTTGCACCACCCCTCTTGGACGCCCCCTACTTGGCCGCCCCCGAGATTGGCGACCTCCCACGGTTTCATCACACTGAATGTGTAATCCACTAGAGACGGAGATGGGTTTACCTTCCAGTGCTCGTAGTTCCGCTTGCCCAGGACGAGCAGAAGTGGGGGCGTTTCGACTTTTCCGGTGCCGGCATCGCCACGGGCGAGCCTGTGACGGACAGGAGTCCCCACCCGGGCTAATTTCGATGATCCTCAGGACGTGTGGTAGCCCAATGCGTGTTTATTTGGTTCAACCCAACCAGTCGATCATCACATCGTCTTCGTCGTAGTGAAGGGCCTCAGTGGGGAAACGCACGTTGGCGCTAGCACACGTTCTGATGATCCTCGATCATCCTTTGATTGTTTTTCTCTTACGCGTGGTGAAGTTTTGCTTGTCGAAGCGTTGTGCTTGCGTCTGTGTCTGCAAGAGTGTGTTTTGTCTGCCCGCGTCCGTGTCCCTGCTTCTGCCTCCGTCTATATTCCGGCCTGTCCGCCCCTCTGCTTGTGTTTCTCGGAGAATCTGAGGAGGGGAAAAAAACGCACAGACACAATTAATCGTCAATTTCCCAGAAGAGAAACACCCAGAACATATAGGAAAATATGGAGAACCCTGTTATGTGTGTGTATTTATTTGTGTGTCCCAGGGCCCCTTCAGAATCGCACCCAGACATCATCGCGTCGTAACAAAAATCAGGACGGGCGGTTTTCCGCTGTTTTCGGCCCGAGGGGGCCCGCCGGGCCCCAGGACTGTCAAGAAACTACTCAGAATGAGAAGCGGGTCCCGGGGAAAGGGTCGGGACTTCAGGGGGCGCCGTGCTGAAAAAGTAAGGGCATGGCACGTCTGGGTAAGGTTCGAGTGCGCCAGAGCTCGGGTTTGCGCCGCCGCGGTTTGACGAGCGCGTCCTGGGTTTTGACGGTCCAGTTTTCGTGGGATGTTTGCAGCGGGAGTTCGCGTCAAATCTCATAGTGGGTCTGAGCATTGTCATGATGGCCCCGTCAGGTCAACCCGACTCTCCCGAACCCGAGTTCTACGTCTCCCCGATATCACGACATATAAATGCATGTCGCTCTTTCACCGTTTATGTCGCCTGTGTATAGAGTTTCACGCGTGTGTGTGTGTGTGCCCCTCTCTCTCCTTCTCCTGGCATGCATGTACAGTCGGGGCCCTGAAGAAGGAACCCTTTTCGTCGGGGAGGGGCTCCGCGTTCCCTAAGTGTTTCACAGCTTGCCTCAGGTGTTCCTGATGTCTTCGATCGGAGATCGAAGTTTATCTTGTGGAAAAAAACGGGGCCTCGCTCCTTATTCAGGGCTCCTGAGGTCAGTGCCCCGACTGTATTAGTGCACGTGCCGTATCCGCACGCGTGGAGTTGCAGCTCTCGCGGGCGAGGCTCGTCCCGCGGGGCGCACCCGCGATCCCCGAGGGGGGCCGACGTCCGGGGCGCTCTCCAGGAGGGGCCTCTCGGCCTCGAGGGCCGAGGGAGGTGGCCTCCCTTCCTCGCGGAGGGCGGCGGTGTCGTCGTCGTCGTCGTCGTCGTCGTCGTCGCCGCCGTCGTCGTCGTCGTCGTCGTCGTCGTCGTCGTCGTCACCGCGTCCCAGCTCCCTCTGCCGCTTCCTCGAGGCGGAGGGCCGACGAGGAGACTCGAGGAGGGAAGCAGAGTGGGCGCGGCTCCGCCCGCGGAGGCTCGGCGGAAGGGGGCGGAAGCAAACGTGGCATCGCTCGGACGTGTGCATTTTTTCTCGGCGAGAACCATCGAAAACCATCCTGGGCCATCGAGCAAGGAAACAAAAAAACACGCACGAAACCGAACGATGCACGGGAAATGGACGTCCGAGCGACGGCAAGCAAAAGGCTGCCTTCCCAGAGTCGGCAACCTTTTTGTGGGTTCGTGGCTTCTGTAACCGGACAGACGAGCGAATGAGGGAAAGGGGTCCAGCACAACCAGCCCGCGCAGGGCCGCGCGTAAGCCTAAGTCGGGCCTGTCCTTCATACAGGGGGAATATCCAAAACAAGTAAAACAACAGTCTGGGGACGATCTTTTCACCGTTTTTGAATATTTGTTGGATATTTTTGGGGTATGCTTTATCTTTCGTTCCAAATCCGCCTGTAGGAGGACATGCCCGACCTGAGCGTAGGCGCGCTAGGCGCGCTTTCCTCCGCGCGGAGCGCCACGCATGCGGCCCCGCGTGAGCCGCGGCGTGAGGTCGCTGTGCCGTCTCGCGCAAGGCCCGTGGTTTTCATCGCCCACACACACCCTTGGAGAGGCAATGTTGGAGGCCTCGAAATGTGCACCAACACCAACACAGGGGGTTGCCTCCACAGCGGGAAGATTATCCTGGATTTTGGTGTCGGTGGTAATATTTCGGTCGCCTTGGAAGCCAGAATATTACCACCATCACCGAGATCGGGATCTTCTCCCCTCGGTGGAGGCACACCGCCGATATTGATGTTGGTGTCAACCTCTAGGCCTGCGACAATGCAATGCTTGCAGGTCGGGTCGGGTCGACAAAGCGTCCGGGGGGCCTGGAGGTATTTTTGCATCCCGGAGCCCCTTCTGGCGGTCCCCGGGGCCCGAGAGTGGCACTTGGCAGCCGAGCGCGACGAAAAACCGAGGGGGACGAAAACGCTCGAATCGACGATAGAAGTGGCACTGCTTTTCCAGGGCAGAGCGGGTCACCCCGTGGGGCGCAGTTGTGATCGCGTCTCTCGCGTCGGGAGGGCGACGCGGGCGCACGGGTGCTCGAAGCCAGCCGCACATCGCGGGGCGCGGTGCACGGGTATTGCAGTCTGTCTTGCGTTGAGTCGGGCATGTCTTTCCACAGGAGGAATTTCCCAAAATAGAAAAGAATGGCCCGGGGACGATGCCTCGACTATTTTTGGCCATCTTGGGGGGTATTTTTCACCATTGTAATTTTTCGCCCAAAGTCCGCCAGTAGGGGGACATGCCCGAGCTAAGTCTTGCGTTGAGAACGGCATCTTGTGGCTCACACTCGGCTGCGCGCCCAGGGGGGACGTGAACCGGGGGCAGGCCTTCTCAGAAGGCGGCGGGGCTCCTCAGAAGGCCTCCGGCCTTCTGAGGAGTTCTCCCTTTCTTCGGGGAAGGCTCAGGAAACTTCTCCGAGGGTCCGAGGCCTTCCGAGCCTCCTGAGAAGGCCCTCCCCGTCCGACTCACCCCACGGGCGCGCCGCCACGTTCTGCGTGGAGCACGTCGTCTCGTCGCCATGGAACTGGGGGCGTGGGCACCCGGAGGTCTGCACCACTTCCCCGGGACCGGTTTCGTCCTATGAGGTGTTGTTCGATTGCCCCGGGCCCCGCTGAGGGCCCCCTGAGGCCGAACACGAGCCCAAGTCTCACCGCCCACCGAACCACGCCAACCCGGCCCGAAGGCCCCGATTTGCCCTCCATATCCAGTGGGTGGGGGGGGTCCGGGAGCATTGAAAAGGACACATCTGAAGCCTGTATCGGGGGCCACGTGCGAACCCTACCCCTACCCCCCACGATTTCTCAGGGGGAGGGTGGGGTTCACTTCGCTCGGGAGCTCCCGCACGAAGTGAACCCCACCCTCCCTCTCAGAAATCGTTGGGGGTAGGGGTAGGGTTCGCACGTGGCCCCCTACCGTAATCACCCCAGTGCTGGGGCCACCTGCCAGCGCCTCCGGCAGTGCCGCCGGCGCCGGGGAGGGGGAAGGGTGTCCAGCGCCGATGCGGGGCATCCGCGCGGACCTCTGAGCTCTTCGAGCTCATGCCACTGTTGGGTTCCCAGGAAAGGGACCGGTAGGAGACGGAAAGGCCGAAAGGACACAGGGAGAGAGAGAGAGAGAGAGAGAGCATCGATCGTCATCTTACGCCTCAGTCTCCTCCTCCTTCACATGCTACGCCTCATCCTCAGGAAACCCGCCTACCACGGCGCGTCGCCATCATCATTATCGTCGGCATCCACATCATGATCATCATCATCATCATGATCATCATCATCATCATCATCATCATCATCATCATCATCATCATCATCATCATCATCATCATCATCATCATCATCATTATCATTATCATCATCATCATCATCATCATCATCATCATCATCATCATCATCATTCATCATTCATCACCATCAGTATCATCATCATCGTCATCAGCATAACGTAACATAACATAATATAACCATACCCATGACCATCATCATCCTCATAATTATCAGTATCATTCCCATTACCAGCATACCCATATCATCAGCATCATCATCGTCCTCTTCACCATCATCATCATCATCATCATCATCATCATCATCATCATCATCATCATCATCAACAACATCATCATCATCACTCCACGGAGGAGTCCCCGAGGCAGGGAGGCAGGGATGGCCTCATTTCGGCCGTCTGCGTCCGCTGCCGGACAGACGTGCAGAAGCAGCATGGGCGCCCAGGGCCCCACGCGCCTGGCATTTGTCGGCCTTGGGATCCAGCAGCAGCCAGGGGGGGAGGAGGACTGGGAGGGGAGGACGGAAGACTCGGAGAAGAGGGATGGGGAGAAGCGGGAAGGAGAGGAGGAGGAATAGGAGGAGGAGAACCATGAGGAGGAGAAGGAGGAGGAGGAGGAGGAAGGCGGAGGCACCAAGGAGCAAGGAGGCGGGTCGGAGGGGGGGGGGAGAGGATGAGCGGGAGGTTGCAGAGTTGAATGAGGAGGAGGGAGCGAACTCTTCCGCGGAATCCAGCACGAGGGCGCACAGGTCGGGGAGGAGGGAGGAGGGCGCACAGGTGGGGAGGGAGGAGGGCGATGGTCCCGAAGGGGTTTTGGTTTTGGTTTCGCCAGAGCCCGTGCCAGGGTTCTGCGGATTGGCATCCCAGTGCGAGGCTTGTTGGCCTGGCTTGGCATGCGCACCCCTCGACGTCGCCAGCCCCAGGACTGACTGAAGAGGCCCTGGGACACAAATAAACACACACAAATAACAGGATTCCCCATAGGTTCCCATATTTTCTGGGTTTTTGTCTTCCCCCCACTGCCCATATTTTCTCATATTCTCTGGGGAATCGACGATTGCTTGTGTCTCTGTGTTCTTTCCCCTCCTGACTGACGGCAATCAGGGATGAGGGTTCCCATGCGCAGAACACGTTTTGACCTCGGTCCGGGATGCCATCGTGGAGTCGTGGTCACTGGCAACAAGGGTGAACTCGGGACGACCGACATGGGTACGGAGAGAATGGGTACAATGCCCAACAGCAGTTCCTGTTCATTTTGAACAGGACTCGCTGTCCGTGCCGCCGCGGCCTGTGTCTATTTGAGACAGAAGGCCGCCTGCCCAACAGCGGCCGTTGTTTTGGGACATCATTTGTTGTTGGGCATTGTACCCATTTTTCCATACCCATGTCGGGCGTCCAAATGAACAGTTCCCCCAGGGAAGCACTTCGCTCGGACCTTATATTCGAGCCGCCGGTCGCATTGACGTTGACGGTGGCGGTCAAGTAGTTGACGGGGCCGCGTTTTGATCCGTGGTTGCCCTGCCCAATCTCGAGCAGTATGTTAATTTAATTGTAAGTGCAAACGATCTGCGCCATTGATGTGCAACTCGTGCTGGCTCGAGAAAACGAATGTGTGTGTTAGCATGTGTGTCTTGAAGTGTTTGTTCATTGCGAACGTAATGGCCAGCGTTGGCATCGGAGATATTGTTTTAAACCGTTGTGCTCATGCCTCATCACAAAAGGCACATGGGCGCATGGCCGCTAGATGCGTCTCGAATCAAACTGGATTCATAATTTTGGAGCGCGAAGTGCGAGGGCAGTTGAATTCATTATTCTAGAGGAGGGGAATGTAGTACCACCTGCCTTGCTATCTCCATCTCTCTCTCTCTGCCTCTCTCTTTCTGTCTCTCTCGTGATACCGTTCCCCCCCCCCGTCTGTCTGATCCACCACAGTGACGCCCATCCTCCCAGGAAGTCAACATTCATAGCGTTCTTGTGGCCGGTGTCGTCGAGGGAGGAGGTGGCTCGTGCAGCCGGCTTCATGTTTTCAGATTGGTGTGTTGCCTCTTGGCGTCGATCCTCGATGCACCGCGCTTGCTCTTTGTGATCGTATATGCCACGCATGCCGCTTCGATTCAGCGGGCACAAAGAGGAGTTGAACTGACGTTGCCCCTCTTCCCAAGAGAAGGCGCGGAGTGAGCACAGGTATCCATGGGCTTGTTCGGCTTGCTCATGTAGCTGCCCGTTCAACGTATGGTCAAACTATCGTTTATTCGCTTGATGACACTACGAGGCCCATCCCTTGTGAACTGTATATGGTATATGTAGTGGTGCGTATTGGTCCTTGTCCCATCTCCAAGCTCGCGAGACTTTCATGCATGTTTGTTTCTGTTTGGCGAGACGGCCACGCCGAAGATACGTTGCTGTACAGGTCCTTGAGTCGTGTCCCCCGAAAATTGCCATCCCGCCCATACGCAGCCTCAGTGGATCGAGACTAGGGGTGACATGGCTACGGTATCAGCTATCCTTGCCAAACTTGCATGGGCATTGTCTTGTCCCTCTGCTGGACTATTACCAGAGAGGTGGCCAGTTGCGTTTGCCGCTGACGGCGCAGGTTCTGCAGATGATGGCGAAGTGGTCATGGGACCGACGGCGAAATTTGGGCTTCTTGCTCGGCTGTAGGAGCCTCGCCGCGCTCCACACGACGGTCCAGTGCACACTGGCTCACAGCTCGGGGGCGGACAGAACCCCCAACAGTGACATGTCGATTAGTGAATTGTCCGTTTTCGGTTCTCGAGAGGGCGCCGCGGCCGTTATTTTTCAGGCTTGCGCCCGCCAGGTTTGGGCTTCAGGTCGTTTTCACTAAACCACGTTTTACTAAAGGGAGGTCTGTCCATCCCCGAATAGCGCCGGCCGTCGCCGCCGTTCTATTCAAGGGGCCCCTTCGCAGAGGCACCGTGGCGAGTGGTCGCACGAAGCACGTGTTGAGCAGGCCTGGCCGTGTGCCCACCAAACGCAGCAGAGCAGATTTGGTTTGCAGAGCTTGTAGCCATTGACGCATCCACACTGTAGGGGGCCTCATGCGAACCCTACCCCTACCCCCCACGATTTCTGAGGGGGAGGATGGGGTTCACCTCGCTCCGGAACTCCCGAACGAAGTGAACCCCACCCTCCCCCTCAGAAATCGTGGGGGGTAGGGGTAGGGTTCGCATGAGACCCCCCACATTGGCTGCCCCAGATCGGACACGAGCGAGCCGCCACACATTGCTATGCACGGACCGTGCCTCCAGCTCGCTGCAGTCTGCAGGTCTGTAGTCCGAAATTATCTGCGCAAGCTCGGCGCTGTGTTGTAGGTTGGCCGTCGGGATTCACCCAGAGTCTGTGAGAGCACTGTTCTCACGCTCACTTCTTAATTACCGGAGGCTCCGTCAGACCGTTGGCCAGTGCGGTTGCAATTGAGTCACCGCTCGTGGCGCCAAAAACGGGCGAGCAGAGATTCAGACCACCCGCACCACTCCGATGCGGCTCGGGCATCTCGAGCAACCGCTCCTCTCGAAGTATCTGTCGCGCATGTTTGAAGTCGTTAGGGCTCCTGGGCGAAACAGGATCGGGACCAGGACGACCAGAACGGTGGTAAGGAGGAGGGAGAGAAGGACAATGATGATGGAGGAGGAGGAGGAGGAGGACACGAAAGATGGGGATGACGAACGAGGACGAGGACGACGAGGAACTGGAACAGGGTTGAGACGAGGAGGAGGAGTAGGACCAGGGTAATTCGAAGACTCAACAGCGATGTTGCAATAAGCCCTCCCAGGTTCCCTCGTCATAGGTCCCTACAAGGGTTTGTTTTCAGAGGGAAGTTCCCCGTTGGAGGACATCCTCCTGGAAATCCTGAGCCGTGTCAGAACAGCATTTCTAGGACCTCAGCGCCGCGAATCAAGCTTACTGTTGCGTCCTGACGGTCCTGAATCGTGCCAGATCACCATTCCTGGGATTTCAACGCCGCGAATTAATCTGATTGTTGCGCCCTACCCGTCCAACATCGTGCCCAAATGCCATTTCTGGGACGTCATCCATAAGAATATTTGTGCTGTCAATTCTTGCTAAGACCACGTCTTGAAAAGGGACCGCCCTTCATCCGTGAAATTCTTGCGAGCTTTCAACACGAATTCGCGCGGGGCTGAGGCGGGAGCCACATTTTGAAAACGACCTGCCCCCTCCATCCGTGACAAATCTTGCAGACGTTCACGGCGAGCGTGCTCGGCGCTAATGGTGAGGGCCACACTCTGTAAACCACCCGCCCTCCATCCGTGAACCTGCTGCACCTTTTAATCGGGCAATGTCAATATCCACACCCAGTGCGTCTTGGAGTTTCGGGCTCTCTTTCCCAGAAACATGAGGCGCACTGAATGTGGATTAAAATCTGACCCCAGAAGACTATATTTTAATCCATATCCTGTGCGCCTCGGCCTTGCGGCGCCCCTTCCAAGAAAGTCGAAGACGCACTGGATATGGATCTAAAGCTTGAATTTTTTAAGCATAAGGATCACATGATGAGGGAGCCTCAGGCGACACGCCCGGCCCGCCCCACCGACACGTCTCGGGGTGCGACAGGAAGGAGTTATGTATAATTATAAGGAAAACGGGCGGAGGCGCAGCAGCGCAAGGAACTGCGCCCGGGAGCAGGCGGGCAGGGAGCAGGACGAGCAGCGGCAGCCGCAGCACCTCAGAGGGGCGGGTCCGGAGGCGGGCCGAGGGCGGACAGGCAGCGGCAGCAGCGGAAGCCCGTGCCGCCCCGAGGTGGACCACGGCGTGGCCATCTTGAAGGCCGCCAGCCACTCGCGGGCACGACTCGGCATCGTAAAACAGGGCAAGGATCGGGATAAATCGCTCCAGAGCGTTCCGGAGCGCTCTCAGAGCGTTCCGGAACGCTCTGGAGCGGCCGCGGCGCCCAATACATCCTCCAAACCCGCCGATTCTCAGAGATTTCGAGTTACCCCGATCCGATTTTGTCTCGATCTTCGCGTCGTTTTACATCGCTCGGACGCGTGAACTGCCTCGGCGAGGCCAGCGCTCAGAGCGCGCTGCGAGTCATCAGGGCTGGGGGGTGGTCGGGGGGCAGCTCCTGGATCGTGGGTCGGGGGCGCAGGCCGGAGTTACAGTCGGGGCGCTGAAGAAGAAACCTTTTTCGTTGGGGAGGAGCTCGATGTTCCTTAAGTGTTCCACACCTTGCCTAAGGCTTCCCTTCCGTTTTCGATGGGAAGTCGACGTTTAACTTACGAGAAAAGGGGCCTCGTTCCTGATTTAGGGTTCCTCAGGTCAACGCCCTGACTGCACGCACCCTGGCCCGGAGTTGTCCTGGATAGCCCGGGCGTCCAGCCGCTTCCGAGTCATGGGGGTTGGGGGCGGTCGGGGGTAGTTCCTGCATGCTTCGTGGGTCGGGGGCCCAAGGCGGGAGTCACCCTGGGCCAGAGTTATCCCGGAGGGTTCGGGGGTGGACAGAACCCCCAACAGTGACACGTCGATTAGTGAACTGTCCGTTCTCGGTTCTCGAGAGGGCGCCGCGGCCGTTATTTTCCAGGCTTGCGCCCGCCAGGTTTGGGCCTCAGGTCGTTTTCACTAAGCCACGTTTTACTAAAGGGGGGTCTGTCCATCCCCGAAGGGTTCGGGCGCGAAAGCCCATGACCATTTGTACCATCTTGGAGCGTCTTGGACCTTCTCAAGAGAACAAGCACGGACGATGCCACGCAATGCACGGGGAGTGGACGTCCGAGCGATGGCAAGGAAAGGGGGGGGCAATCGCGGGTGTTGTTGGATCAAAGGGCGTTTCATGTTTCACACTTGCAGCCCAGGGCGGGGGGAGGCACCCGGAGGACGCTCAGGGAAAGGAGGGGGAGGGGCACCCTTGCGAGCGGAAAACAGATTCGGGTGAGCTGACCCGACGGCGTTTCACGGTGCGTGCATCCACTGTCGAAGTCAAAGCTAAAGCTGAAGAGCACAGAGAAATGATAAGCATCCTAGCAGCAGGAGGAGGGGAAGAGGAGGAGAGGAGGAGAGGAGAAGGGGACGAGGAGAGGAGGAAAGGAGGAGGAGGAGGAGGTGGAATATTCGTAATCTACTAGTAAACGTCCCCGGGTCCAATTTTTTAGGGAGCCTGTTGTGGAAGCAGGGGGGCCTAGTTCATTGGGGTTGTTTCTTTAATCCAAGCTTCGGGGGGTCCGGTTTATTAGGGTGCCTTCGCGTATTTGTCTCTTTTGCTCCAAGTTGTGCGGATGTTTGCGCGGCTTCGTTTTCGTGGCACCGATTTGCGAGTCATCATCTCCCCCCTCCTCGATGGGGAAAACATACGAGGGGAAGAAAAAGACGAGACCCCCCCGAGGAGGAAACATTTACATTAGGGAAATAAAGAAAACGACCCCCTCCGGGAGCGCTCTTAGCAAGCAGCGTTCATTGGAACTCAGGTGTATTCCAGTTATGTGTGTGTGTGCGAGGAGGAGGAGGAGGAGGAGGAGGAGGAGGAGGAGGAGGAGGAAAAGGACAAACGTAAACCTACTAGTCACCAGCGATGTTGAAATACACCCTCCCCCCCAGGCTCCACGTCGTAGGCCCCATACACGGGCTCCTTTCAACCGGGGGGAGTGCCCCGGTTGGAGACAGCCGCCTGAACATCCTGGAAGGTGCCCAGCCCCATTCTCGGGGCTCCAACGCCACGATTTCGACCTGGCCGCTGCGTGCTGACCATCCTGAATCGTGCCAGAGCGCCGGTCCAGGGACTGCATCACCGCGAATCAGCGTCACTTCTGCGTCCTGACAAGCTCGGATCCTTCCACATGCCATGTCCAATAGTCCAGCCACTGGAATGCGTGAATTCATACATTCGTTTACAACGAATGCGCGCGGCGCTAAGGCGAGAGCCACATGTTGAAAACCACCCGCCATGAATTCGTGAAGCTCTTGCAATGTTTCAGATGAACGTGCGCGGCGCTAAGGCGAGAGCCACAGTTCGTAGGAGGAGTAGGGCGGAACAGTCCTGGTGGTTTTCCCTTGCCGGGACTGCGGTTTCCCTCACTCCCCTCGTCTTTCAGTAAATCCTTTTTCTTCTCATCTCCCCTCGTCCTCTCCTCCTCCTCCTCCTCGTCCTCCTCCTCCTCCTCCTCCTCCTCCTCCTCCTCCTCCTCCTCCTCCTCCTCCTCCCCCTCCTCCCCCTCCTCCTCCTCCTCCTCCTCCGATCTGCTCTCCATCCCGCCCTTCCGCTGCTCCGCGTGGTCGACGGGCGGGCGGCCAGGGGCGTGAGCCACTCGGCACCAGCACTTGCGCGCGCGCTCGCGTCGGGAGCAAGAGGCGGGGGAAGAAGGGGGGCGGCAACCTAGGCATCCCAGATGGGGTCGGAGTAGATGGGGTTCCGAGGATCGCGCCGCATCGCCGATGCATCGCCGATGCGGCTCGATGTGCAGTCCGATGTTCTTCACGTCGACGTCGCCGATGCATCGCCGACGTCGACGATGCATCGCCAGTGCATCGCCGATGCATCGCCGAGGTATCGGCGATGCGGCGCGATCCTCCGAACCCATCTACTCCGACCCCATCTAGGAGGCCTCTAGGCAAGGGTGTTCACGGTTCGGTCGGTTCCTTTGCGTCGCAGTCGGTTGCGGCGGTCGGTTCGGTTCGGTTGGTCATTGAGTTGTTGCCGCGTCGTTGCGCTTTTCTAGTCTGCTTTCGGCCTGTCGATGTCGCTCGGTTTTAAGTTTCGTTGTCGGCGGTCGGTGTTTGTTTTTGCTGTCGCCGTGAAGGGCCTAGGGAGGAGGGTATTGAAGAAGAAGAAGACGAATAAAGGCGTGTATAATCATGAACTGTTGACTGTCCGCGCGGATTTCTTGGATTTGCGGCAGGCCCCCCTGGGGCCGCCCCTGGCACGCTGCGCAGGCACAGCGCGTTGTTCCCAAAGGGCAGGGGGATGCAAAACAAATCGAGGCGGCTCCAATCCAGCGGGCACATTCGGATCACACTACGGGCCAGCTCTGGACTGTCTTGGAGCCGTCTTCAAGCCGTCGTTGGCCCTGGCCGCTTTCTTACTTCTTTGGGCCTCTTGGGGAGGCGTCTTGGGGGGGGTATTTGAGGGCATCTTGGGGCATCATGCTTTGCGGCCGTGTGAAACGGAAAATGTTGACAGACAAAAATATTGACAGCCTCAGGTTGTTTAATGTACTTGGGCTCTCAGGGGCCCGACAGCGTCGCAAGATGTGACGCGTCGCAGCTCTGGTATCGGATCAAGCCCGGAAAGATATTCTCAAGTGGTAGGTGTTTCGCCAAGGGTCGACGGCGCCGCAGCATGTGATGCGTCTCTCTTCAAGGCCGCAGAGACCCGTGTCGGCTCGGCTTCAGAAAGCGGCGATTCGCATGCGTCAATTGTCCTTCGTGGGGGCAGGAGAGGAGAGCCACCACGTGCGGCAGCCCTCCCCCGCGGATTCCAGAAGAGCGCGTGCCGTGATTGCTGTGATCCTCTGGACGCCAGTACAGTCGGGGCCCTGAAGAAGGAACCCTTGTCGTTGGGGAGGGGCTCCGTGTTCCTTAATTGTTTCGCAGCTTGCCTTGGATTTTCTTTAGGTTTTCGATGCGAAATCGTCGAAGTTCAACTTATGGAGAATAGGGGCCTCGTTCCTGATTTAGGGTTCCTTAGGGCAACGCCTCGACTGTATGCCTTTCACATGTTGGACCGCTACTCTCCAGGTGCCAGGGCGAACCAAAGGCCTGGCAGCTCGCCCCCCCACGGCCCTCGGGGCTCGCGGGGCACCATCAGGAGCCCGCGCTCCCTCGCGCCCGCCGCAGGCGAATGGCAAGATTGCGCGGGCCGCTCACAACATGTTGGCCTGGAGGCTGGGAAGGGGGGCGCCTTCCCTCCTCGTCTTGACCACCTCTCGGACCGGTGGGGCGGGCGTCCGAAGCCTCTCGGGCGTCGCGTGCTGGGGGGGGGGGGAGAAAGCTGCACCTTCTTGTGCCCTGAAGGGCCCCCCCTGGGGCCAAAAACGGGGCAAGAGAGGTTCACGTCTCTTCTTCAAGGGAGGGAGAACCACCCGGACCGGACCGGACCGGACAATTGGCGTTTACTCAACGGCCCTGGGCGTTTACTAAACAGCCCTGCCCTCTTCGATTCCCTCTCTGGGTGCGTTTACCAAACGGCTTCGCGTGTCGGGGTGGTTATCATCGGGACGGATTTTTCTGCCCTCGGCTTATCCCCCCCTTTGCCGCCCCTTCCCCAGCCTCGGGGGAGCGAGGTGATGTCGAGGCTCGGGAGCTCCAGGAGCGGGAGGCCGCTGGCAGAGCAGGGACAGGATGAAGCCCAAGGAGGTCCCCAGGTGGCTCCTCCTCGTCGTCGTCCTCCTCCTCCTGGATCCACGATCCTCCCCCTCGATCTCAATCCTCCTCTTCGATCCTCCTCGATCCTCGATCCTGCTCCTCCTCGATCCTCGATCCTCCTCCTCGATCCTCCTCCTCGCTCCCCGAGGCCCCCCCCAAAAGAAGGACGGAGGCAGCCTGGTTCCCCCTGTTGCTCTAGCCTGGCTCCAGAGAGTGCGTGCTGCGACCAGCACGGCCAAGCTGCCCGGGCGCCGCAAAAACAGATGCATTGTATCTTAGGCTTCCCAAGTAGGGTCGGAGTTGATGGGGTCAGAGGTTCGGGTTCCTTTCGATGTTCCGGTTTCTTGCCCCGTCGGGAGCATGGAGGTGTACACAGGCCTTTTGGTGTAATGTCTAAAAACAGTTAAAAGATGATGACCCCCCCCCCTCCCCCCCCCGGATCCCGACTGCCATTTACTCGCATCCGAATAATTATTTGTTTATATGTCCCCCTGGAGCAAAGTTCCATGGATCCCGATCGATGCCACTTGTATACACCTCGGCACCAGGGAGAATGCCGATGGGGATGTTCCCGTTTTCCGATCAGAGAATGAATTTTTACATTGGGTTTTCGCGATTGGGTTTTGGAGTTCAACCTCGCTCCCGTGGTATACAATATATCAGCGGTATGCCGCCGCCGCGCGCGCGCGCGCGCGCGCGCGTTGGCGATTGGCATGTGGGCGTTCAGTGTCGTATGTCGACATGATGATGTGTCCGTCTTCCGATCAGAGCATGATTTTTTACATTGGGTGTTCGCCATTGGGTTTTGGAGTTCAATCGCGCTCCCGTTAAATAAAAACTATCAGTGGCATGCCGCCGCCACCGCGCGCGCGATTGGCATTTGTGCGTTCAGTGTCGTATGGCATTTTTGTCATCCGTGTTGCATATCCACATTGAGATGTTCCCGTCTTCCGATCAGAGAATGAATGTTTACATTGGGTTTTCGCAATTCGCTTCTGGAGTGCAGCATCGCTCCCGTTGTATCAAATCTACCAGCGGCGTGCCGCCGCCGCGCGCGCGCTGCCGCTTGGCATGTTTGCATTCGGTGTCGTATATATCCACATTCGGACGTTTCCGTCTTCCGATCAGAGAATGGATGTTTACAGTGGGTTTTCGCCATTGGGTTTTGGAGTAAGCATCGCCCCCTTGATAAAATCTATTAGCGGCATGCCGCCGCCGCGCGCGCGAAATTTCGTCTTGTCGCGTAGTATCTAGCAGCGGCATGCCGCCGCCGCGCGCGCGACATGTTTGCATTCAGTGTTGTATGTCCATGTGGAAATGTTCCCGTCTTCCGGTCCGGGAATGAATTTTTACATTGGGTTTTGGCCATTGGGTTTTGGAGATAATCATCACCCCGTTGTATAAAACCTATCAGCGGCATGCCGCCGCCGCGCGCGCGTTGGCGATTATCATTTGTGCATTCAGTGTCGCATATCCACATGAGGATACTCCCGTGTTCCGATCAGAGAATGAATGTTTACATTGGGTTTTCGGCATTGGGTTTTGGACCTCAACATGGTTCCCGTGATATAAAATCTATCAGCGGCATGCCGCCGCGCGCGCGCTGGCGCTTGGCATTTGTGCATTCAGTGTCGTATATCCACATTGGGATGTTCCCGTTTTCCGATCAGATAATGAATATTTGCGTTGGGTTTTCGTCATTGGGTTTTGGAGTTTAACATCGCCCCCGTCGTATAACATCGATCAACGGCGTGCCGCATTTGCGTATTCAGTGCCGCTTCGCAATCCAGACAGGGCGCGCGGTGCGCAGGGAGTGGTCCCTGAACGCACTCTCTATCCACGCTGGGGTCGCACGGCGTGGCAGGCGTGGCCTGACGCCAACGGAGGGTGCGCAGGAATCTGCCCCTGCACGCAGGGCGCCAGGGCGGTCGCGGGGACGTTTCCAGCGATACAGTTTGCCCCGCCCTTCTTTTGTTTTGTATAGGGGCACTGCAGCGCTGGGGAAAACAATGTCTAAGTTGTCGCCCAAAACATGTTTAAAACAGTATTTAGACATTGCGCAGGCTTTTTGGTGTACGCAGGCCTTTTGGTGTACACAGGCCTTTTGGTTTACGCAGGCATTGTGGTGCACACACACACATGTCGCTGCTGCGCCAGCATTTGTGGTGCACGCAGTCTTTCTTGTATAGAAATTCGCTGCAGTTTACACAGACATTGTCTTCAGGTTTGCACGGGCAACGTGGCATCAGTACGCACAGTGGCCCATTCGCTGTGGTTCCGTAATTATTTCAGCGTTGTCGTATCCAGCGCGCTCATATGAACGCGTGTGCGTGTAGAGGATGATGCCACGGTGTACATGAGGCGTTTGGCTGCCCCCGAGAGCCAGAACAGCTTCTCGCTGCCGCTGTTTCTTCGTCGAGCAACGAGTACCGACCGCGTGGGCATCGGGGGCCCGCCCCGCCAGCCCCAACCCCCCCCAGGCCCACCCCGCCGCACCCCCCGCCCAGGCATCCAGGGGGCGCTACTGCTCCCCAGCGGGGCCGCCCCGCCGCTGCCGCGTCGGCTCGAGCGTTTCGCCTGCCGGCCGCCGCGCTCTGCCCCGAGCCTTTGCGGAAGGGCCGCCGCCCGCTCGGCCAGAGGCGCGCGGCGTCCCGCACTGCCGGCGGCCGCCGAGCGGACACCCGCCGACGGATGGACGCGGATGGGCTGCCGTGCGGGTTCTCCCCCATTTTTTGCTTGCGGTTGCTGTTGCTGCTGCTGCCGCTTGCTCCTCCTTTCAGTTTCGCTGAACCTAACCCACCCACCCTTCGGCCATGCATACCCACATTTATTCACACGCAGAACTACTCATACTCAGACCTACTCATAGTCAGACCTACTCCAACTCAGACCTACTCATGCTGAGACTCACGCGCGCCCCGTTCGCGGCCGTTTTGTGGGGATGCCTCAAGCGGTTTGCCTGTTTTCTGTCCCAACATCCTTCGCTTTCGGAGCACATTTGGAGGATGTGTCGAGCGAGGCGCTTATTTTCACGTCCCTAAGGGGAGCCGCCGAGGGGTGTTGCACGGTCCCGTTCGCGGCCGTTTTATAGGTATGTCTTAAGCGGATTGCTTGTTTTCTGTCCCAACATCCTTCGCTTTCGGACCAGATTTGGGGGATGTCTCGAGCGAGGCGTTCATTTTCACGTCCCTAAGGAGAGCCGCCGAGGAGTGTTGCACGGTCCCGTTCGCGGCGGTTTTGTGGGGATGTCTCAAGCGGTTTGTTTGTTTTCTGTCCCAACATCCTTCGCTTTCGGAGCACATTTGGAGGATGTGTCGAGCGAGGCGCTCATTTTCACGTCCCTAAAGGGGGCCGCCGAGGGATGTTGCACGGTCCCGTTCGCGGCCTTTTTCTGGGGATGTCTTAAGCGGTTTGCTTGTTTTCTGTCACAACATCCTTCGCTTTCGGGGCAGATTTGGAGGATGTCTCGAGCGAGGCGGATATTTTCACCCCCCAGGTGGGCCAGATTTTGAGGATGTCTCGATCGGTGGCCAGACTCGTGGGCACAGATTCTCCTCAGGATGCAACTGGAGGCTCCAACAGGCTCCAGGAGGCCCCAGGAGCCCACATGAGGTCCCAGGAGGCATCAGGAGGCCACAGAAAGATTCAAGAGGCCACAGGATGTCCCAAGAGGCTCTAGGAGGCCCCAGGAAGCTCCGGGAGGCCTCAGGAAGCCACAGGAGGCCCCAGGAGGCCAGAGGAAGCGCCAGGAGGCCTCGGAAGGCAGCAGGAGGCCCCGAGAGGCCCCAGTAGCAGGAGGCATCAGAAGGCAACAGGAGTGGTTCCAATCCCATGTGTTTGACGTATGCTCCTATAGATTGGGCCTCACCTGGAGCACGAATCCTTGGTGTCATACGTATGTTTCTGTAGAGTGTCCTTCTCCTGTGTACTTATGTTCCTACAGGGCCTCTCCTGGGGCACGAGACCTTGGTGTTTCACGTGTTTTACTCTAGATTGCCCCCTTCTCCTGTGGTTCCAATCCGCATTCTTCTCCTGTGGTTCCAATCCGCATTGATTTGTGTACGTCTGTTGCTATAGATTGCGCCTCTCCTGGGGCGCGAACCCTCCCTAGGCAGGTTTCAGGAGGCTCCAGGAGGCCCCAGAAGGACCCAGGCTCATGCGCAGAGACGCGCTCGTACTACTGAGGCTCATTCACACTCCAATCTATTCTCAGTTAGATTCATGACCAGACCGTCACAAGTGAAGCCCTTTATATTCGAAAGTTCTTGCGCCTAGACATTCACGTTGGACAGGTCCATGCGAATAGGCACAAGCTTACTCAGACTCAGACCTACTCATACTCAGATCTACTCCTACTCAGACTTACTCATGCTGAGACTCACTCATACACAGACTACCTCATACTCAGAATTGCGGGGCGCTGGTTTCAGCACCCCTGATGGGAGCCGCCAGGGGTGATTTCACGGTCCCGTTCGCGGCCGTTTTGCGGGGATGTCTCAAGCGGTTTGCCTGTTTTCTG